ATGGAATTATTTCCATTGAATATGTGAACTCTAAAGATAACATAGCGGATCCACTAACCAAAGGGTTAGCAAGAGAGTTAGTTGAAAATTCATCGAGGGGAATGAGACTTAAGCCTATTAAATAAGAGTTACCACAACGGCAACCCAACCTAGTTGACTGGAGATCCCAAGATCTAGGTTCAAAAGGACAACCGAGTTGTGTATGACTAATAAGGATCATCGGGGAGTCAAACTCCTACCCATTTCTATAATGAAATAGTGATGTCTGCAGCGTTTTAGGTCAAGTAAAATTTTAATAATTCTGATATATAGGTAAACCTAGCAGAGTATGGCAGAATACTCTTCATAAGAATCACCTATGTGAGTGTGAACTGGGCTAGTTCTATGAGATTTGTGAAGGGCTACAATTCTTTAGAGCACTCATGAAAGAGCAGATTGTTCACGGCCAAAATGAACACAATAGTGAGAACTAAACTGTGTCTGGTGATATAATGTGTGAGTTCTATTGTCTTGGTTTACACAAACGGCTGAACAGTTCAAGACATCTTGTTCACTGGTTAGCTAGTAGATCTGATAGTGTCTCACAAGGGAAGGTTCAAAGGCAAAAGCTACATATCCTTTACAGAATATTTTCAATTTCTGTACTCTTTGTAATTAGATCATGTTATTGTATTTTCTCTTTGGCAAATTCCATTCATGTGAGGGATTGTTGGAAAATTTGATTTTTTTATAGGCTTATTTTGGGCCAACTTTGAGTCCAAAATTGAGTGGGGTCCACACGTCTTTTGAGGTGGGTCCAAAGAGGTGACATGTTCCTTGCCACGTGGCAAGTTACACGGTGAAGACGGTTTGTCAAAACCATTTATGAGTGAATAGGAACTTGACGTCGTTTTCGAGTTTGTGGAATGAACAATTAAAGAATTAAATGTGGGTTTCCTTGTAAGGCTTGTCCCACATTGAAACTTTAAGAGAGCTTGTGTATATATATAAGTTCTGGGTGACAACACTTGGATTGGGCCCCCAAAGGGCACCCCAAGTTTGTAGAAAGGAGGAGTTATGGACAAAGTGAACCTTAGCCCAAACCACCACACACTCGCGCGTCGCCGTTCGGCCGAGCCGAGCCGTACCGGTTGTGGGCCGAGTCGGTTCTAACTTTAATTTTTTGGACAAAATTTATTTGAATTTTTTTCAAATTCCTGCAAGAAATTATTTAAATTTCAAAATGGAAATTTAAATACAAAATTTTGTCCAAAAATTGTGCCAACCAGATTAATCTGTCACCGGATAGATTCTGTTCTTCCCTTAACAGATTTATAACTACTAGCAGTTTCCAATAGATAGAAACTGCCCAGCAATTATCTGTTCTTCAGTTACTACACCTATTCATTCAAAATTCAGATCTATTCATTTGAAATTGAACTTGTTCGGACAGCCACAATTTGCCTATAAATACCAGCCATTTCCAGTAGTCTTTGGCATCCAAAAAATATCCATAAAATTCTTTCCTTCCTGGTTTTGCTCTTTAGTTGCATTATTCTTCATATTATTTTTTAGGAAAAAATTAAGAGAGTATAGAACACAGGTTTTGTTTGCCGTACAAATTGTTTGGACTGGTATTACAATTTGTGAAGACATTGTATCCTGGGAGATAGACGCCTTTTATCCGTAAGCACCATAGCGGGACGAATCTATCTTAAAGACAGAGTGTCACACACTCGACTTGATCTTTTAAAGTTTTGTTCGATTCGGTAAAATAAATTATGTAAGTGATTTATTTTTATTTATTTGATTTGGTTTCAAATTATTTATTTTACACAGAAAATTGTTCCAACAAAATAATAAAGTGAAAAAGAAGCTAAAAAGCAAAAGGAGGGAAAAAACAAAAAAAAGTCTAAAATGACGTTGTTTAGGACCACCATTGAAAGTGCCACAGGCAACTGCGGCAGACGATTCGGACTCCATAATTTGCAAGTGTCGGTTTGTTGAGCAAGAAAACCAACAATGTTGAGCAAGAAAACCAACAATGACGTAATAATTTGATACTTCACATTTAAATTTTTATTAAGAAAATTTTATTCTTACATAAAATTTATATTAAAAAAGGGTAATGTTAGAGATATTAATTTTTTTACTAAGTAAATGATCAAATGTCTCACATGGGTGTAGGGTCCACACCCATGTGAAACATTTAGTTATATATATAATAAAAAATTTGAAACCTATAACATTTTCTATTAAAAAATTGATAAAAATAATGTAACAATACAATATTAAATCACATCGTTACGTATGAATTTTTTATTTATATGATATTACACTTTTTATTATCAGAAATGATACATCCTTCTAATGTGGGAGTTTTAAAAGAGCACTAATGATGGAAAAAAAAAAAAAAAAAACTAAGACCAATCACATCACATAAGACCCATACACTCATTAAAGTTATCAGAGCTCTTAATTTAAAGTTCCCAATCTTTTTTCTTCTAAAATTATATTATAAAATTTTAGATCAATCAGATATGGGGAGAGAGAGAGAGATCGATGCGAGGAGCTTCACTGTTGATGAATTCACAATCTTAGCTCAACAACAAGAACATTCACCAGAAAGAAAAAACAAAAACAATCGAATGCAGCTTTTTGCATATGACGAGATTATCACAATCTTCGAGTCCGACAAGAATGTAGGAAAATAAACAAAAATTACAATTCAGTAGTATTTTTAAAAAATAATGATAAATTTATATAAAAAAAATTATGATTTTAATTATTAAGATTTATAAAATTTATACTAATCTAATTTTTTTTTTAGTTAAACATACACTAATTTGTAATTTTCTTTAATTTTAGTCTAACCAAGTTCTCTTTGGGTTGGCTTCGAGTCCGACAAGAACGCAGGAAAATAAACAAAAATTACAATTCAGTAGTATTTTTAAAAAATAATGATAAATTTATATAAAAAAATTATGATTTTAATTATTAAGATTTATAAAATTTATACTAATCTAAATTTTTTTTTAGTTAAACATGCACTAATTTGTAATTTTCTTTAATTTTAGTCTAACCAAGTTCTCTTTGGGTTGGAAAAATGCTTTAGCACTCTAAAATATCACTTATAAATTTATTTTGAATAAGGTAGGTTATTAGATGTAATTCTTTCATGTTGAGATCTCGACATGATAGAATTTGAGGGGTCTCAACATCACAGAACTAATTTTTTAGGGCCTACCATGGGGTTTTATTTCGATGATTTGAATCGTTCATTTTATAGGGTCTGCAATATATAATATCAATGAAAAAAATTAATTCAATCCGATAATCATACATTTTTATTTTATTACATTTGTGTTTGAAAAAATAAATAACAAATATATTTTTGAAATAGACCATCTAATTTTTTTAGAAACAAATATGATAAAATGAAAAAGTTGCGATTATCTGATTGCCATATATTTTTTCATGAATAATATACATTGCGGGCCCTACAAAAGAAACGATTCAGATTATTGAAACAAAATCTATGTTGAAACCTACGGGCCCTCGAGTTCTATCCGGTTGAAATCCCAATGTAAGAGAAACTTAACTCCTATTTAAAAATTAAACAATTAAGACTCAACTCTTACCATATTAGTGTAGATAAATTTATGAATAATATTTTAAAAATCTCTAATATTACTCCTTGAATTAATTGGTCCAGTTTTTTTGTTTGTTTTTTTTTTTAAATTTTTTTTATGGAGGTTCAATAATCTGGTCTAACAGCAAAACTTATTGGAATCAATTATATAATATTTATCATTATACCCTTATTTCTTGCATTTAATTTTGTCAAAGATTGAAGGGATAGATCAAAGGGAAATTTTTTTTAAGGTCCCTGGTATTAAAATTTAATAGCATAAAGGACACTCAATATTTTCATGATGTCTAAGGTCCCTCAACATCAATCTAGTGAAAATTCGATCTAGAGAATTTCTCTGGACAAATCACAGAGAAAATTCCAAATTTCTCTAGACACATCACAGAGACAACTCCAAATTTCTCTGGACAATAATAAGGACTAGTGCTCTATTTCAGAGAAAATTAGGTTGGTCCAGAAAAATTCTCTAATTTGGACTGAATTTTCTCTAGGTTGAACTAGTGCTCTGCTTCAGAGAAAACTGGGTTGGTCCAGAGAAATTCTCTGGGCTAAACTAGTACTCTGCAGAGAAAATTGGATTGGTCCAGAAAAATTCTCTGGTTTCTAGTGCTCTACTTCAGAGAAAATTGGGTTGGTCCATCTCTAGTTTGGACTGAATTTTCTCTAGATCAAACCAAAGAAAAATTTTCTTTGATTCAAATATAAAAAAGCTGTTCAAGCTCAAATCTTATTGGATTCTCAAATGCTCATAGAAATCATAAACAATGAGATTGAGCTTACATGGGATAAAGGAAATTTCTCTGGACTCTCCACCTTCTCTCTCTAGGTTGAACCAGTGCTCTACTTCAAAGAAAATTGGGTTGGTCCAGAGAAATTCTCTAGGTTGAACTAGTGCTCTGTAGAGAAAATTGGGTTGGTCCAGAAAAATTCTCTGGGTTGAACTAGTGCTCTGCAAAGAAAATTGGGTTGGTCCATCTCTGGTTTGGACTGAATTCATTATATCTATGTGTGTTTGTGTATATATATTCCATTTCCTTTTCCATCATTTTCATCCTAATCTCCTAACCAAACTTTAGACAAGAAATTCTAAGCGGGACCACGTCAAATTCATTTTTCGAGAAAACAAACGAAGCTAAACTGTATAAAAACCAGTTCAGAAAACCCAAAAGTAAGCAAAACTCCAATCATCACAACAAAGAAATTCCGGGCAGACTGGACCACATCAAATTAAACTCATTTTCTGAGAAAGTAAACAGAGCTAAACTGTATAAAAACGAGTTTAGAAAACCCAAAAGTAAGCAAAACTCCAATCATCACATGGTATTCAGTTGGACTTGTATCTAAACTGTGAAAAGATATGATTCATGTGAATATGTTTTCCAGAGAGGTTAAAAGAATAATTTATATATAAAAAAAAAAGTAGTTAAAAGAATAAATAAATAATAATAATGTACAATCTCTTTTCTATATGTAAGAGTATTTGTATTCGTTGTGGTAAAGAGCATCTGTAGCATGGCAATGGCCCTGCATTTTTGTTACAAACTTAAGATAGTTCGCAAATTTTTTTTTGGAAACACATTTATAGGCTAACAATTCTCCTGCTTTCGCGATATATGGTTTCAGGTGAACAATTATGCACTTACATTGCATTTGCAACAGGCTCAGCAAAGCAACTCTATCCCTGGATGCTTCAATCCCGATATCTTCTGATAAAGAGAGGGGAACTTAAACACTTCAATCCCGATATCTTCTGATAAAGAGTGGGGAAAGCGAACTGGTCGTCGGAAGAGAGGACGAGCTAGATCGACGAAAGAAAGAGCAGAGTAGTGAGGAGAGAGAAGAGTTGAGGCGTAAGTCTGAGAGAGAGAAGAGAGAGAGAGAGGTGAAGGTTTCAAGCTTATACCAAATTTCTCTGTAATACACGGGGTGTGGGGTTGAGAGACCTTAAACATCATAAAATAATATTGTGGATCTCTTCCATTACTAAAATTGGGAGAGGGACCTTAGACCAATTTTCCTATAAAAAAATTAAATATATTTAGAATTGCCTTTTTTAAGTTGTATGAAAAAATATGACTAAAAACTGGACAATTGTCTTGGGTTATTGGTTCAATTATTTTTATCACATCACCTGTTTTGCTAAAAACACAATTGTCTTGTCTTTTTCTACCAAAGTTTGCTATGCAGAAATCAATTAAATAATGTTAAATGTGAAATTTAATTGTGTTAAAATGATAAGTTACCGTTTGAATGGTATTAAATATGGCTTTTAAAATAATTCATTAAAAATTCAAACTTTATATATTCGACATATTTAGTAAATTTTGAAGGGCGTTTATTTTAGAGGGTTTTTTTTAGGATCCCTAATATTAAGATTTTATAACATAAAAGATATCTAATATTTTTGTAATGTCTAGGATCCCTCAAATCAGTCTAGAGAAATTCTCTAGCCTTCCTAGAGAAATTCTCTCAAAATCAAAGAAATTCTTTCTAGAGATCTCTAATTTCTTTGGACTTTTTAGAGAAGTTCTCTCCAAACCAAAGAAATTTGCCACATTACGTGCAAATTACTCTGGATTCAAACCAGAGAAAATTAAAATTTCTCTGAATTCAAACTAGAGAAATTCAAAAGAAATTAAAATTTCTTTGGTTTTATTCACAAATTTCTCTGTGAAGAAAGTATTTGTCTTAGTTTATCCAACAATTCTACTCCAAAATTTATATTTATCAAAGTAATTCAACAATTCACACAATAGTCAACTAATTACAAAATTCAAAGACCATCCAAAGTTTTCATTAACCGTATTTGGAATATTCAGTGCAATTTTTCTCTAAACTCTGGGGTCAATTGGTAAAAGGAAAGTTCAAACCAAATTGATTGCTTTTAAGGGTTGTCTTTTATTGCAGAGGAACTACAGTGATTGTGCAGATCAAGAACAAAAAAGCCTTCGCCTATTAATTTTTTTCTATAAAATTAGTTTCAAGTGTTGGCTTAGACTTGTTCTTTTTTAGAACACTGACTATCATGGTAGATAAAAGCGAGCATATTGAATATACATATTGGAAAGTGGTTGATACCACTAATTAGTCACTAATTTGTAATTTTCTTTAATTTTAGTCTAACCAAGTTCTCTTTGGGTTGGAAAAATGCTTTAGCACTCTAAAATATCACTTATAAATTTATTTTGAATAAGGTAGGTTATTAGATGTAATTCTTTCATGTTGAGATCTCGACATGATAGAATTTGAGGGGTCTCAACATCATAGAACTAATCTTTTAGTGCCTACTATGGGTTCTATTTCGATGATTTGAATTGTTCATTTTGTAGGGTCCGCAATATATAATATCTATGAAAAAAATTAATTCAATTCGATAATCATAACATTTTTATTTTATTAGATTTGTGTTTGAAAAAATAAATAACAAATATATTTTTGAAATAGACCATCTAGTTTTTTTAGAGACAAATATGATAAAATGAAAAAGTTCAGATTATCTGATTGCCATATATTTTTTCATGAATAATATACATTACGAGCCCTACAAAAGAAACGATTTGGATTATTGAAACGAAATCTGTGTTGAAACCTACGGGCCCTCGAGTTCTATCCGGTTGAAATCCCAATGTAAGAGAAACTTAACTCCTATTTAAAAATTAAACAATTAAGACTCAACTCTTACCATATTAGTGTAGATAAATTTATGAATAATATTTTAAAAATCTCTAATATTACTCCTTGAATTAATTGGTCCAGTTTGTTTGTTTGTTTTTTTTTTTAAATTTTTTTTATGGAGGTTCAATAATCTGGTCTAACAGCAAAACTTATTGGAATCAATTATATAATATTTATCATTATACCCTTATTTCTTGCATTTAATTTTGTCAAAGATTGAAGGGATAGATCAAAGGGGAATTTTTTTTAAGGTCCCTGGTATTAAGATTTTATAGCATAAAGGACACTCAATATTTTCATGATGTCTAAGGTCCCTCAACATCAATCCAGAGAAAATTCGATCCAGAGAATTTCTCTAGACAAATCACAAAGAAAATTCCAAATTTCTCTAGACACATCACAGAGACAACTCCAAATTTCTCTGGACAACAATAAGGACTAGTGCTCTATTTCAGAGAAAATTGGGTTGGTCCAGAAAAATTCTCTGATTTGGACTGAATTTTCTCTAGGTTGAACTAGTGCTCTGCTTCAGAGAAAATTGGGTTGGTCTAGAGAAATTCTCTGGGTTGAACTAGTGCTCTGCAGAGAAAATTGGATTGGTCCAGAGAAATTCTCTGGTTTCTAGTGCTCTGCTTCAGAGAAAATTGGGTTGGTCCATCACTGGTTTGGACTGAATTTTCTCTAGATCAAACCAGAGAAAAATTTTCTTTGATTCAAATATAAAAAAGCTGTTCAAGCTCAAATATTATTGGATTCTCAAATGCTCATAGAAATCATAAACAATAAGATTGAGCTTACATGGGATAAAGGAAATTTCTCTGGACTCTCCACCTTCTCTCTCTAGGTTGAACTAGTGCTCTGCTTTAGAGAAAATTGGGTTGGTCCAGAGAAATTCTCTGGGTTGAACTAGTGCTCTGCAGAGAAAATTGGGTTGGTCCAGAGAAATTCTCTGGTTTCTAGTGCTCTACTTCAGAGAAAATTGGGTTGGTCCATCTCTGGTTTGGACTGAATTCATTATATCTATGTGTATTTGTGTATATATATTCCATTTCCTTTTCCATCATTTTCATCCTAATCTCCTATAGACAAGAAATTCCAAGCGGGACCACGTCAAATTCATTTTCCGAGAAAACAAACAGAGCTAAACTGTATAAAAATCAGTTCTAAAAACCCAAAAGTAAGCAAAACTCCAATCATCACAACAAAGAAATTCCGGGCGGGCAGGACCACATCAAATTAAACTCATTTTCTGAGAAAGCAAACAGAGTTAAACTGTATAAAAACGAGTTCAGAAAACCCAAAAGTAAGCAAAACTCCAATCATCACATGGTATTCAGTTGGACTTGTATTCAAACTCCAATCATCTGTAGCATGGCAATGGCCCTGCATTTTTGTTACAAACTTAAGTTAGTTTGCAAATTTTTTTTTGGAAACACATTTATGGGCTAACAATTCTCCTGCTTTCGCGGTAGGCTCAGCAAAGCAACTCTATCCCTGGACGCTTCAATCCCGATATCTTCTGATAAAGAGAGGGGAACTTAATCACTTCAATCCCGATATCTTCTGATAAAGACTGGGGAAAGCGAATTGGTTGTCGGAAGAGAGGACGAGCTAGATCGACGAAAGAAAGAGCAGAGCAGGGAGGAGAGAGAAAAGTTGCGTAAGTCTGAGAGAGAGAAGAGAGAGAGAGAGAGAGGTGAAGGTTTCAAGCTTATACCAAATTTCTCTATAATACATGGGGTGTGGGGTTGAGAGACCTTAAACATCATAAAATAATATTGTGGACCTCTTCCATTACTAAAATTGGAAGAGGGACCTTAGACCAATTTTCCCATAAAAAAAATTAAACATATTTAAAATTGCCTTTTTTAAGTTGTATGAAAAAATATGACTAAAAACTGGACAATTGTCTTGGGTTATTGGTTCAATTATTTTTATCACATCACCTGTTTTGCTAAAAACACAATTGTCTTGTCTTTTTCTACCAAAGTTTGCTATGCAGAAATCAATTAAATAATGTTAAATGTGAAATTTAATTGTGTTAAAATGACAAGTTACCTTTTAAATGGTATTAAATATGGCTTTTAAAATAACTCATTAAAAATTCAAACCATATATGTTCGACATATTTAGTAAATTTTGAAGGGCGTTTATTTTAGAGGGTTTTTTTTAGGGTCCCTAATATTAAGATTTTATAACATAAAAGATATCTAATATTTTTATAATGTCTAAGATCCCTCAAATCAGTCCAGAAATTCTCTCCAAATCAAAGAAATTCTTTCTAGAGAAATTCTCTCCAATTTCTTTGGACTTTTTAGAGAAGTTCTCTCCAAACCAAAGAAATTTGCCACATTACATGCAAAGAATTACTCTGGATTCAAACCAGAAAAAATTAAAATTTTTCTGAATTCAAACCAGAGAAATTCAAAAGAAATTAAAATTTCTTTGGTTTTATTCACAAATTTCTCTATGAAGAAAATATTTGTCTTAGCTTATCCAACAATTCCACTCCAAAATTTATATTTATCAAAACAATTCAACAATTCACACAATAGCCAACTAATTACAAAATTCAAAGATCATCCAAAGTTTTCATTAACCGTATTTGGAATATTCAGTGCAATTTTTCTCTATACTCTGGGGTCAATTGGTAAAAGGAAAGTTCAAACCAAATTGATTGCTTTTAAGGGTTGTCTTTTATTGCAGAGGGACTACAGTGATTGCGTAGATCAAGAACAAAAAAGCCTTCGCCTATTAATTTTTTTCTATAAAATTGGTTTCAAGTGTTGGTTTAGACTTGTTCTTTTTTAGGGACACTGACTATCATGGTAGATAAAAGCGAGCATATTGAATATACATATTGGAAAGTAGTTGACACCACTAATTAGTGATAGTATTAATGGTGTGGTAATAGATCCTGAGCATATTGGATATACATATTGGATAGTGGTTGAGACCACTAATTAGTGATAGTATTAATGATGTGATAATAGATCCTACCCATTATTATAGTGTTACTGTACTTTTTTTTAAAAAAATATATGTCAACTTATTAATAATGCTTTAAGTACCATTTTTAGTGATATGTATGATTGCCCATACATATTTGAGAATCGTATAGCTTTATCGGAGCTTTGGAGGGGGGATAGAGAGAGAGAGCACACAATAATTCAAATGATGTTCTGTTTTTGTCGTTTCTTATAGACTTTTGTATGCTTTTCTAGCTTGTGGGGTTGTGAAATTTATTGTTGGGTTTGGATGACTTGATCTATTCAGTGAGAGAGAGAGAGAGTGAAATCAGGTTTGATTTGAGTGGATCAAATTTTTTTATCATATATGGGTATAGAGTTGATAGATTTTATATATTATAAAATAATATTGCGAACTTTTTTTATTACTAAAAATAAAATAGGGATCTTATACTAATTTTCTCTTTATTTTATCAGTTATATGATTGTACCAACAAATTAATCAATTAATCTGTTAAAGATAAGAGAATGAACAAGACCAAAAAAAAAAAAAGAAAAAAAGAAAAAGCAATTGGCTTGAATAGTATCTTATCATATAAATCAAATTTTGAAACTAGAAAAAAATTAATTTAGAAAGTAATTGAAAAATGTACAGTAAAAATTTAATTTAATGTGAAGTGAATCACTTTCAAATATAAATCTAATCTATACTCTGTTTTTTTTTTTTTTTTTTGGAATTACTTTTTGAAGATTCATAGCATCAACAAATTTTAAAATTATTCATAAAGTTCTATTCAATAAGATTGAATTAGGGCATTTGACTGAGTGGTTGTGTAGTACCATTTATAATGTAAAGTCTCGAATTCAACTCCTATAAAAAGGAATTTAATACTCTTTGTGCTAATTTATTTTTCTATCATTACAGAGCTTACATAATTGGTGGTAATTGTGATGGGCTTAGGTTTAGGTTAAAAACATACAAAAAATTGATATAGTAATTTTATTTAGAGCAATGATTAAGACTCTCACCCCCATAAATCTGGACCATTCATGATGTAGACCATACACATACATACATGAGTGAACCCTACACATATATGAAGTGTCGGTATCACTTTAAAAATGTGAAGATCATTTCCAAAAGGAGTCCCAAATATTTTTGTTTTATTTATTTTTACAATGGTGTGTGAGTCATGCCTATTTTCTTAACCCAATAAAATCACTTGTCGGTGAGGGCTTTTAATATTCACCAATTTAACGAGTGGGCCTTTTAGGTTACCCCCACCAAATAAAAGCATATGGATTCCATCAAATAATTGATATATTATATAAAGCTAATATAAAAGGGTAAATTACACTAACAGTCTCTATAATTTGGAACTCATATTATTTTGGTCATTGACTTTTTAATTGTGACATATTTGATCTTGAATTTTAAATCTTGTTCCAAATAAGGACAATTGAAGATATCATTATTTAATTTTAAGGGTAAAATCATCAATTTAATAAAACTCTTTGTGCTAATTTATTTTTCTATCATTACAGAGCTTACATAATTGGTGGTAATTGTGATGGGCTTAGGTTTAGGTTAAAAACATAAAAAATTGATATAGTAATTTTATTTAGAGCAATGATTAAGACTCCCACCCTCATAAATCTGGACCATTCATGATGTAGACCCTACACATACATGAGTGAATCCCACACATATATAGAGTGCCAGTATCACTTTAAAAATGTGGAGATCATTTCCAAAAAGACTCCCAAATATTTTTGTTTTATTTATTTTTACAATGGTGTGCGAGTCATACCTATTTTCTTAACCCAATAAAATCACTTGTCGGTGAGGGCTTTTAATATGCACCAATTTAACGAGTGGGCCTTTTAGGTTACCCCCACCAAATAAAAGCGGATGGATTCCATGAAATAAATGATATATTATATAAATAAATAAATAATTAAATACATAAAGCTAATATAAAATGATACAGTAAATTTTGATTTTATCATTTTTAAAAAACAATATTAAAATAGTTTATATTTTTTAAAATATTATTATCACATTATTCTCGACATAACGTTTAATTAAAATAGGACCAATCATTAGTATAGTTTATAGTGTTGATGATGCTTTCGAAGGATTTATTAATAATGATATAAACAATTTGTGGATCATGTACACTGCTAACTTAAAAAAGAAAAAAAATCCAAGTAGTCATGCATGAAATTACAAAACAATGTCTGGTTTAATTCTTTGAAAAGCCCCTCCCTACCTAACATTCCAACCAAACAAAGGTAATGAAACCTCCTTTGTGAGCAGACAAGAGCCACCGACACAACAAATTGAAATGGCACCTCTTACTATTACCATGTAAATAATGTCTTGAAAAGGAGTAATAATAAAATACATTTTAAAGTTTGAGTCTTCTAATAAAATAAGTACTAAATTTTTATTTTTGTCAATTTAAACTTAATATTTTGATTTGTTTTTAATATAAACATTTGTCTATTTTTGTTAAGTAAAATTATTAGAAAAATAGTATTTTAGTCATTAAACTCAATGAAAATGGATGTTTTAAACATATTTCAAACACTTACATGGAGTATAATGACTAAAATATCAGCTTTTGGTCAATTTTATTTAAGAAAATAAGCAAATAGTTTAGATTAAAAATAAATCAAAAGATTATGATTTAAATTAATAAAATTAAAAAATTTAAGATTTATTTTGTTATAAAGCTTAAACATTAATTTTTTTTTTTTATAATTTCTCCTAATATATAAATAGAATATTCATAAATAATTTTATATTGAATTTTTTTAATTATAAATAAAACACTCATAAAAATAATTTATATTTATAAAAATAGCGCTGTCAGCTATTTCTCATATCACTTTATATAAATGATTGAAAAACAAAGATTAATAAAAGGGGCAAGCTTCTTTCCAGTTCGTGATCAGATTAGAGCGTGTTGTTAGGCCGATGGAGGTTCACTACGAGTTCCGTTTTGATAATCTGAATATTAATATGTAGAACTCGTCGAGTATTTTATTCCCATAAAAAATGAAGTTTATCGGATATCGATAACTACTTGATCGGATCAGATTTCTATCAACAGTAAATGTAATTTTCAAAATAAATTATTGACAAAAATCTAATTCGATCAAGTAGCTATCGAATTCGATTAACGTAATTTTTTATAGGAATAAAATACTTAACGAGCTCTATATATTAGACGGTTCAGATTATCGAAATAGAACTTATGATAGATTTCACGGGCCAAACATCACCTCCTACCCCCTAATAGAAAGTTGAGATTTCTCATTTGAATAATGCTTGAGACCCCCTTTTGGGGGTCACCCCCTCACCCCCCTTTGCCACGTGGCGGGTGGTGATTGGAGGAGAAGGAAAAAAAAGAAAAAGAAAAAGAAAAGGTAACCAATGAGAGAGAGAGGGGGTCAAAGGGAGTGGGGGGAAAAGGGAGATGAATCATTGTTGTTCTCATTTATTGTGCATACAATGACAACTTGAGCTTTGTGTTTTGATCAAGATATGAAAAGAAAACGACAACAAAACAAATAAACAAACAAACAAACAAAAAGAAAAAAAGAAGGCAATCCTAAGACTAAAATAGAAATTGGTTTTAATTTTCATATGAAAAATTAATCTTGAAACCATATTTTATATTCTCATGTTTAAACCAACTACAAGTATAATCTATAAATTATCAGAGAGAGAGAGAGAGAGAGCTTACATGCTGACAACATGGCAGGTGGTGTTATCGGAGGTGCAGTTACCACAGGTGACAGCATTCTCAAACCCGTTAGGCTCACTCCGGTTGGCCCAACCCGATTCCCCACTACATGGATCTACATTAAAATTCCAATTCTTCTTTCCCAACTTATTCGCTATTTCCTTCAGAGCTTGCACTGCAAAAATAAAACCCACATTAATTTATATCCATCGAAATATTACTCCTTTTTTTTTATCAATGAAGAAAATTTTTATTAACAATATAAAATTAAAAATACAGAAAGACAACATATATTGAGAGATTACAAATTATCTTTACTACTGCTATTCACCTCATACAACTAACCCCTCAATCTCATAATTTTTTTTTTTTAAACCAAAAATAATAATAATAATAATAATAACAGAAGATGAGAAGAACTTAAGTAAAACACATCAAATTCCACAAAATTACCCCCACAAAACCCAATACAAAAAGACGCATACTGCACACCTCCTTTTCACCAAAAGCTAAAGCACTTTTCATTTTTAATCAACATTTTTATACTTTTTCACAGCTTTATTCACCCACACTGACCAGAGACTCCCACGCCTACCTCTCCGCCCGCCACACCTACCAAGACCGATAAACACCTATGACCGTTAAACACCCGTCTCCACTTCCATGGTCAGAGCACTTCTTTTCCGATTCAAGCTCCGAACACCCACTGCAACCGGACACACCCAACGACGATCAAAACCCACTGCCATCTCCATTACCATGGTCGGAACAAATCTTCTTTTCCGACCCAAACTCCGAACACACCCACTGCAGAAGTTCCAATGTTGACAACCCAAATACCGAACAACCGCCGAGACACCGAAATATTATCCTTAGTACTCGCAGTGCATATGCCAAGAATCCCACCGAACTTACGTCGGACCAAAACTAAGGCTCTACATGCTTTAGACACTAAACAATATGTTTAATCTTAAGAGGTTATGGAGATTCGAACCCAAATTTTAAGTGAGGAATTCGAGAGTCTTGAACCAACCCTTGTTGGTGTTCCTAATCTTATATTCATATGTATATGTGTATATATATACCTTCAGGAGAGGGAAGTGGAGTGGCTCCGGAGGCAAAAGTAGCCAAGAAAACGATTACAGCAACTGAAGCAAGAAGCCGAGTGAAGAACATTTTTACAAGTTCTCTCAGTTGTGAGAGAGAGAGAGAGAGAGAGAGATAATACCAAACCAAACCAAACCAAACCAAGCCTTAAGTCCCATCAAATGGAGTCGGCTATATGAATCATTCTTCTCCACGCAGCCCTATCAAAGGCCATTTCATTAGTCAAATTAAATAGATTCATATTTCTATTTATAACGCTAGTTAACGTTAATCTAGGCCTACCTCGTCTCCTTACACTTCCATCTATTGTTACAGCATCGCATCTCTTCACTACTGCCTCTGTTGGTCTCCGTTGAATATGACCAAACCATCTCAAACGATTCTCTCTCAACTTATCTTCTATCGGTACTACTCCTACCCATTCCCGAATACACTCATTCCTAATCCTGTCCTGTCTAGTTTTACCACACATCCACCTTAGCATCCTCATCTCAGCCACACTCATCTTATCTACATGTTGTTTCTTGGTTGCCCAACATTCCGTCCTATACAACATAGCTGATCTAATAGCCGTTCTATAGAACTTACCTTTTAGTCTAGTGGGTATTCGTTTATCGCACAATACCCCAGACGCACTTCTCCACTTACACCATCCCGCCTTAATCCTATGGGCCACATCTGCATCAATCTCTCCCGCTGTTGTGATAATCGACTCTAAATAACGAAAATGTTCACTTTTAGGCAGTTCTTGGTTCTCAATCTTCACTTCTCCTCTGCTTTCATTGTTACTGTTACTAAATTTACACTCCATGTACTATGTCTTAGTTTTGCTTATCCGAAATCCTTTAGATTCAAGAGCTTTTCTCCAAATCTCCAACTTTGTGTTAACTCCTTCTCTAGTCTCATCCACTAACACAATATCGTCTGCAAAAAGCATACACCATGGCACGTCATCCTGAATATTTATCGTCAACTCGTCCATAACTAAAGCAAAAAGATAAGGACTTAAGGTAGATCCTTGGTGTAACCCTACAGTGATAGGAAATTCATTTGTTTCTCCAGCTGGCGATCTAATAGTGGTCACCACCCCTTCATACATGTCCCTAATCACGTCAATATAGCCTTTTGTCACCCCTTTCTTCTCTAATACCCACCATATTATATCTCGGGGTACTCTGTCATATACTTTCTCAAGGTCGATAAACACCATATGAATGTCTCTTTTCTTTTCTTTATACTTTTCTATAACTCTCCTCAAAAGATAGATCGCTTCCATTGTTGATCTTCCAGGCATAAACCCAAATTGATTCTCTGACACCTCTGTTATGTCTCGCAATCGGCGTTCCATCATCCTCTCCCACACTTTCATTATATGACACATTAGCTTAATTCCTCTATAGTTGCTACAATTCTAAACACCACCTTTATTTTTATAGATTGGCACTAAAATACTCTTCCTCCACTCATCTAGAATGTTCCTAGTCAACAAAATTTTGCTAAACAACCTAGTCAACCAAGCAACTCCTTTTTTATCCAAACACTTCCAAGCTTCAATAGGGATATCATCAGGTCCTAAAGCCTTATTTGATTTCATCTTCTTAAGTGCAATCTCTACTTCAAAGTTCCTAATCCTGCGATAGAACCTATAGTCTTGGTTTATCGTATTACTGATTATTTCTTCTCCTATTGTCGTACTTCCATGTTCCTCATTTAACAATTTCTCAAAATAATTATTCTATCTTTCCTTAATCTCATCAACGTTCTAACTTTATATTTTTATGTTTTTTTTTAATCTTAGCTAGACGGGGGACACACAGTCCCGAAGGAGACACTGACTTTTCAATGATTATTAATTTTTTGTGTTTTAATATTGGAGTAATATTACGTGTATTAATTAGTGTATTAATATTAGTTATGATTTTATGGTTGACTCCATTTATTATATAAATTATAAATATTAAAAACATCTTAAATTACGTCACATCATCAATTGATACATTAATTAATACATTAATTGGTACATATAGCATTACTCTTAATATTAGCTCAAAAAATTATTATTATGTTATTATTATTGATTGGATAAAAAAAAAAATTGAGTTTATAATTAATAGGTGTTTCTTATATTAAATTTCTAACTCCACCACTAATGATGGCTTAATTAAAAAGTGAGCTCAATTGAAAAGTAAAAAATGTGATGATCTAGATATGTTTAGAGTTATTATATATAAAGAGTAGTGTTAGAGCATTCACACCAGCCTCTTCAAATTTTTAGTCAAATTAGAATTTAAAAACCTATTTTGCTATTTTAGCTAATTACCTCGTTGTTACCTATTGCATCAAACTCTCTATTATAACTTAATCTTATTAATATATTATTTTCTTATTGTGTTTGCTATTCTTTTCTGTTCTTTTTTTATTAAATTGATAAGGTGTCAGCCAAATAATTCTTTAAAAAAAAAAAAAATTTGTCGTTGACCGACTGATCGGGCCGACATTTGGTAACACTAATCTACTTGTTCTTCTACTTGTTGTAGCGATGAATAGCACCTCGTTTGTTGTAACGAGATATTATAACAATCACAAAATGAAGCACGTTGCAAGCGAGACTAATGGAGTTGATTTTTTTAAGTTTATATCACTAATTTAGCCAGAAAACCAAGTTTACCAAGTTTGATGAGGATGCTATTAGAGATTAGGGACAACTTAATTATTTTTAGGGTCTTAGGTGAAGTATTGAATGGAGGTCTTTAAACATTTAAATAATTATTACCATCTTAAAAAAAAAACATTTAAATAATTATCACTAAATTTTTAAATATTAAATTTCTTATTTAATTTAATTTTTTTTAATACTTTTCATGATGCAGAATTATTAATTAAATTCTCGCAATGAAATTTTTCTAATATATTTTTTGGGTACTTACATATAAGTCATAATAAGTGAACTTATTGTCTAATAAGTTTTGTAATAATTAATAATATTTTTTATCAAATGCTATTAAAAAAAAGTCACTAATTGTTAATTTTCAGCGACAGTTTAAAAATTATCACAAAAAAATGTCACTATTTTTTAACTTTCAGCGATAATTCAAAAAATTCATCACAGAAAAATGTAACTAATCATAAATTTTAGGGACAATTTACAAAAATTGTAACAAAAAAGTCACTAATTATCAATTTTTAGCGACATATAAAAAAATCATCACAAAAAATTATCTTTAGTGAGGATTTTATTATGACTAACTTTCAATAGAACTGAATGCGAATTAAGTCTAATTATTAGAAACTATTGATAATTTACCCTATATTTTTTATTGAAAATATTTTTAATTCACTTTAGAGAAGAAATGTTAATATGATTGATTGATATTATGCTTCTAGCAGCATACATCATTATTTTGCGGCCTAAATTGAACAAAAATGATTTTATCTATAACATTTCAACATGTCATGTGCCGTTTATTTATTTGAACTAATCCATTTATAGAAGAAAACAAATATATGTGAGTTTTCATTTTTCCGTTTGTAATTATGATTTGAACATGTGAGATTTCATCAACTTTGTTTTTAAGCCCGAACAAATAACAAATGTTTTGAGCTTTCCCATTACTTGCATTTGCTTAATACAACAATATATATAAGTATTCTAAAATTTTGGGAGCCTTCTCAATCAAGGTTTTGAAAATCAGACTAGACCAGTCGGTTCGACCGGTTGAATCGTCGACAGGACGGGATTCCAGTTCAGACATATCCTTTAAACCGGCTAAAACTCAAAACCGGCGTATTTAGTGAATATAAGAAAATTTAATTTGAAACTCTTTTTCAAGGTTCTCCTTTTGTGAGGAATCTCATTAAGAGTTTACTGAAATTATTGTGAAAGTTTTCACCTATTTATAAGAAAAAATTCTTTCAAAAAGACTTAAGAAATCCATGTGAGATTCAATCAAATGTATTGGAAGGAATATTGAAATTTTGATATCCCTCCAAAATTTTTACTCTCCTTTCAATCAAATTATTTGAATTAAAATCATATAGAGGGAATATTAAATATTTGATTTCATCTTCCAAAATTGAAATTAATAATATTTTAAAATATATTATTATATTTTTCAGTAAAAAAAATATTAGGACAAATATTTAAGATAATTTAATATTTTTAATATTTTTAATTTATAATTTTATTACTTATATTTTTATTTAAATATAATTTTAATATATTTATTACGTCACGGTTCGATTCCGGTTCGACCCGACGGTTGAACCGGTGACCCGTCCGCCCAATCCTTTTTCTGATTCGTTCACCAATCCGATTTTTAAAACATTGTATCCAAGGTCCCTTCATTCCTCAACTTTCTCTCTCTTCTCTCCCTCTTCCTCTCCAAATACTCTTTGTATCTCCGCCTCTCTTCCTCTTCCCTCTTTTTTATTTTCCTTTTCCCTTCCAAAGCGTTGTGTAGAATTACCAAACTATCCTTCCCCGTCAACTGCATTCCATCCATGTCCTCCACCAGCAAACTCACCTCCCTCAATTGCATCATCCCAGCCCCCTCCTCCGATCCACCACCGCACGTCACCACTATCCCGCACTGCACCAACTCCGACGTGGGTCCTCTCCGGTTCCCGCCGGCGAGGATCGAAGCGAACCGTACCTGAACCTCGCCGGTCAGCCAGTGGCGCTCCACCGATACGGCCTTCTGGCTTGAGAGATTCGCCGCCCTCCGGCCGACCGGGTCGATCAGAACCCAGCTCAGACTTATCTCCTCCGCCAGTTCTGCAGAGGCTTCGTCGCTGTCGGAGTGGCATACGGTCGTGGGGATGACGTCTTTGGTGTCCAAGAGGTCGATTCTGAAAGGGGAGCACCGGAACCACCCGGTCAAGGTCTCGGTCTCGTGGACTTCGATTAATACGAGCTTGTTCTTGTAGTGGATGTCGACGGCGGAAATTAGGACCGGCGGCGGAGAAGATGCGGCAGCGGTGGTGGTGGGGAGGAGGAAAGGGAAGGAGAGGGAGAAAAAGGAACGGGGGCCGCCGGGGAAGGTCGAGATGAGGTGGCGGAGGAGGGGAGTGGCGGTGGAGGGCCAGGTGGAGTGGCAGATGGTGGTCCAGATGTGGTCTTGTTGGGAGGAGGAGTGGAGTTGGGAAGAGACGCAGCTTGCGAAGGCGAGGGTGGGGCCATCGAGGCGGCCGAGGATTTGAGCCTCCACAATGTCTGGGTGGACGTCGGAGAATGTGGTGGTGGTGGAGGACATTTGTTGTGTTATGTTATGATCTTTCTTCCCCAAAGGGGGCTGACAGACAGTTGCATTTCTTGACTAGTGCGTTCCCAAGATTTCCGCTTTGCCTAGCTTATATGAAAAATGTTGGACCCTACTTTTATTGATATATTAATTATTTGTGTGTTTTGATTTTTTTTTTCAAATTTTTAGTAGTGACATAAATAATCTAAGTCTGTGTTTGGCAAGTGGGTTTGCAGGTTTTTTTGGTTATTTTAGCCATAAAAAACAAAATAGGCTATTTTAGCCATAATAAACAAAACATCACATCCAACCCATAATCATTACACTCTGCCTTTTCCGATGCTGATTGGGCTGGGGATCCTACTGACGGCGCTCTAACTACCGGGTTCTGCT